GACAGCACTTAACAACAACAATGGCTAACAATACTGAGAACGTCTTCGTGTTTGCTGGCCACCTGCATGTCTTCTTAGGTGAAGTGCCTGTTCATGCCTCTGTCCATTTGAAAACCAGACTCTGCCTTTTTCCTGTTCAGGCGCTGTAGTTTTCTGTCAATTTTAGAAATTAGTCTCTAGTCTGATATGTCATTACCAACAACGATTTTCCAGTCTGTGGGTTCTCTTTTGACAAATGTTTTGATGCACATAATTTTTAGGAGGCCCCAGTTCTCTAGTTTGCCTCCTGCTATTTATGTGCTTTCTGTTATATTTAATAGTGTGCTTATACCATATGCATATGTCCCTAAGTTTGCCCCTCTTTTCTTCATTGATGATCTTTATAGTCCTCAGTTTTACATTCAGGTCTTTAATCCACAGTGAGCTCATTTTAATTTATGGTGTGAGATGTGGGTCGTGTTTCATTCTTATGCAAATGGACTTCCCGTTTTGCCAACTATCTCTTGCCCATTAATGTTTCTTGGTCCTTGGTTAAACACCAGCTAACTGTGTGTGTATGGATGTCTTTTTAACCTAGAGCACTCACCTCACCCAGGATAGAGAGGGTGACTCTGCGGGCAGAGCTGGGCTAAAGGTCCAGTCACACTGTTCTGAAGGTTTCTGTTAGGATTCATGGCCGTGAGCTGCTGTTCACAGCCATGGGACGCTCCTCGGAAACCCTACGTAGGGTGGCTATGAGTCGGAATCAACTCAACAGCACCTAATAACAACCACTTTACCATGGAGCATTTACACATTTAACAATAACTGCACTGAAAAAAGGGGGGGAAATGACTGGACTGGCCTGAACTCTTGGGTCACGGGAACCCCAGAATGTGCCTTAATTTGAAATGGGGACTTTGCAGGTGTATTTAGGTAAGATTAGATCATACTGAATTAATTGTTGTGATTAAATGCACTCGAGTCGATTCCGACTCATAGTAACCCTATAGAGCATTAAGCGGCTGGTGTGTTTGAACCACCAACCTTGCAGTTCAAACCGAGGGATTGTTGTGGTTGAGTGCCCATTCCACAGTGTCACCGCAGGCCCTAAATCCAATGACTGGTCTCCTTATAAGCAGGCCGTGTGAAGATACACAGACACAGAGGAGACCATGGGAAGAGAGGCGGAGACTGGAGGGGTTTAGCTACAAGTCAGACACCAAGGGCTATAAGCAAACACTGGGAGCTAACAAGACGTGAGGAAGAGTCTACCCTAGACCCTTTACAGGGAGATGACCCTGTCAACACGTGATTACAAACTTCTAGCCTCTAGGACAGGGGTAATTTATGAGAGCTTCAGGGAACAAATACGATGACCATGAAAACTCACTGCATTAACAGTTAAAATTTGAGATATCACAGTCGAACAGAATTCTATTAATTAACAAACTTATACAAGATAAAAGCATAGTATTTTCATCCAAATCTCAGCAGTAAAAATGATGGCCATACAACAAAACATGATCAAGAGTTAAATAATTCTAGTAAAGAAATATGAAAAAACCCCACAAAAACTTGCCTAATGGTGCCCTCTTGTGGACATGAGACTAAACTCAGTGGTTAATTATGATGTCACCGAAACCTAAAATGACAAAAGCACTTTAGAGCTTAGCTCGTTGTGACCTCTCCTATGGGTGAGCCACTACGCATTTCCATTAAAGCTAGGTGTCACTATGAGAATTATGGGATTATAAAACAAGAACTGAGAGACATGGAGGCCCGTAACTCTACAAATGTCTTGAAAACAAAGATCTGCTAAGTAAACGGCTACTCTCGGCTACCACTAAGCAAGTAAGTAGCTAACCCTTCTCTCACTGATCAACGATCTGGTATCTGACATTTCACATTTATGACAACAGTAAAAATCTATTACCTAAGTATCTGTGCCTAACAACACAGTCTGGCAGGAATGAACACCAAGGAGTGAGGCTAAAGTAAGGCTGGCTGTGATGGTTCACCTTGTGTCACTTTGTCTGACCTCGACTCTCGCCTCATCTTCCACTTTGTGACCGGCTGTGGTCATTCTCCAGTTTTGAAAGCTGACCTGGTCCTGAGAACCTAACCGTGTCAGTAAGTGAGGAGCGGGTGTTGTGGATCACTGAAACATGTCCTCATACAAAAGCAAAATGAAACAAACAAACCCACATAATTTCAAAAACATGTAATACCTGCAGTACTGTAGAAAAGCAGATTTTAGCAATTTGGTTTTATCTTCTTGAGCTATGATATCATTCTTTGTAGTAGAGTCAAAAACCATACTCTGTTAAAAAAAAAAAAAAAAACTCAACTTCAGAGATAAAGATGTCAGAATAGTCTTAACTACCAGAGTAAAAACCGCGCATAATCTAACACAGTAGCGCACACACACTGTTTAACCTCACTGTCCAGACCAATGGTTTATACACTTAAAATCCTACAGAAACAGCACAAATAATTCAGGAACTAAATTGTGAGCAACAATGTTTGGGGATTTTTCCATAACCACCAGCACACACATGAGATAAGAGATAAGACAGACTTTTTTTAAAAAAAAGTTTTGCTGTAAACTTAGTGAAGGTTCACATACAAGATCATCTGGTTTCCACTGAACAAATTCTAGGAACACTGCAATCCCCTCCATCCATATCCATCTACAACAGTTTCCTCGCTTCCTCCCTGTGGTTCTGATTCCCATTCCATCCATGTTCCCATCCCTTCTGAACTTTGTTCTTAAAAAACATTGCCCTTTTGATACTGATTGACAATTCCATGGTAAGAATACCTTCTAGTGTCGTTGTCTCCCCTTATTGTTGTTGCTGTTGTCGCTAGGTGCCATCAAGTCGGTTCTGACCCATTGTAACCCTGTATAGGGTTTCCAAGGAGCAGCTGGTAAGCTTGAACTGCCTACCTTGTGATTCGATTGCAGTCCAGTGCACTAACGCACAGGGCCACATGAGGACTCCACCCCCACTATATACATATGGAAAGTTGGGCCCCAAGGGTAAGTACCATAGTCTAAAGCTCCTCCAGTCTCTTTGAGACCAATGAACCCGGTCTTTTTTTTAAGTTTGAGTTTTGTTTCACATTTTCTCCCACTCTATCTGGCACTCTCTAATGTAACCCCTTTTAGAGTAGTTGGTAGAGGTTGCCGGGCACCATCTAGTTCATCAGGTCTCAGCGTCGTCCGTCGAGACTGATGTTCACTTGTTCTGCTCATCCAGTGGACTCATCAGTTCCAAGCCTCTGCAACTCTTGTCACTCGTCTTTGTCCCGCACGTGGAAAGACCAATAGCTGCACATTAGATGACCACTGATGAGCCTTCAAGATCCCAGACGCTACTCACCAGAGTAGGATGTAGAACATTCTCTCTGTGGACCTTGTTATGCCAATTGACCATGGTGTCATTGAGACTATGGTCCTGAGGCCCCAGGCCCAGCAACTCTAATTCACTGCCTTAAGATATCCGATAACATCTAAGAAGTTTTCATGATTTTGCTCCACCCCATTCATAGGTCAGTTTGCAGGAAAAACAAATATACATGTACAAATATCTTCTTTCGAACTCTTATATATTTATAGGTAAGTAAAATAAATAATTATACACATATCCCACTCTTCCTCCCTTACCCATTCAGCCTGTGTGTCAGTCCACGTGGCTACGCACAGAATACTGCGGTTCCAAGCTTGTGTATAAACCACTATTTACATCTGTTTCCTTTAGTCCCTACGTTTTCACCTATTTTCACCATTCCTATGCCACTTTCCTTGTATGTGGCCCTCCCCATCACCCGACTTAACATGTGTCTACCCTCTAACCAGTGAATTACTCTCCCTCCACTCTCACCCCTGGCAACCATTAAAGAATGTTTCTTTTAGCATGAAAACCTTTTCTTTCACTTTTCCAATAAAGGTCTCAGACAGTATTTGTCCTTTTGTAATTGATTAATTTCACTCAGCATAACATCATCCATGTTATGAAGCGTTTCCCAGATTCACTGCTAGTCTTCCCTGTTGCTGAGTATTCCATCGTGTGTATGTACCAAGGTTCGTTGACCCATTCATCCATGAAGGGCATATAGACAGTATTCCATCGTGTGTATGTACCAAGGTTCGTTGACCCATTCATCCACTGATGGGCATATA